TTGAGGAAAAAAAAAGACGTTTAAGTGCGCCTTATAGTCGTGAAAATACGGTATGTTTACAAGGACAAAACTATGTGGAGGAACTTGACTGGCCTACATTACACAATAAATTAATGATTGAACACCTTTGGAATAAATGATAGACTCTGAGCCAGATCTTTTTGTCCAGTTTCTGACCTCACTAATGTGCTTTTACAACAGTAATCAAAGGATTAGCATGAACACACTCCAAAACCTTGAGAAAAGCCATAGCTCTCATAGCTGCAAAGGGTGTCAATCAGGGTTGAGTGTTTGAAGGTTGCAGACAGAATATTTGGGCACTATGATGCACTCTGAAATACTTGTAGCTGCAGAACATGGATGCACTAAAGAATTGGAGAATATTTGCTGAATTCCTTCTGAAGAATTAGCAGGAAAAAAAACTCTTCGGCTTTTTCTTTCAGTTTGGATCGTCTGTATCTTTGTTGTGTTTGTTGTTGTGTCAGCCAATTGTTGTTGTAGGAAAAAAACAGCCCTAATTCTTGTATAAAATGGGAACATTAATACTTTTGCAAGACACAACATTTTTTTTTATCATGTTGATGGGTGAATGCATGTTTTTTTTGTATCCCAAAAACTTCAGACTGAACACATTGCTTCCACAATGATCGCCTGCATTGGCAGGTTGATATTTTAGCTCCCTTTCTTCGACATTGTGGTGAAATTACACTCAGCTCTCCTCACCTGGCCGTCAAATAGGAGAATCATCCTTTTACCAATCTTACAGAATATGCTATAACACCAGTTCCTTTTTCTTCGTCTCAGTGTGGCTGAGAGCGAGGCTTGGTGCTCTATGTCATATGGTAGGGGGAAAAAATGGATTAAAAATGGCGTCAGTGGCAAGGAACCATAGGAGCTGCTCTTCTGCTGCAGGAGCATAGATCAATTGACTTTGGGGGTTTTTAATAGGAAAAAAGCTTTGTCTGCTCAACTACTTAACCTCACATTGCAGCCACATCCATCCCTGATTGAAATAACCTGATGCAAATGAGCATACAATTTCAGATTTTTGAACTTCTGTGATATTTTCCTTTGCTCTCCTCGTGTACACAATGCCTATACTCGCAGTGCTGTTTCACTGTGATGGCCAATATGGGCTCGCGTCTAGTCGCTCCTGACAACATGGAAATCACTCGCTCCAGTCGTCACATGAGAGTTTGGGGAAAACGCACCTTAAAGATTGATTTTGAGTGTTGATACAGGGATCAGGAGTGTAGACGTTGTGACTCATAATGTCATACCTCTCCTCTCAAGGTCCCGTCACTGCCCTCGAGCTGAACGGTGATGGTGTCGTGGAAGCCTGCAAGAACATCGCTAACGAAGTGTTCAGTGGCACCAAAGTACGCATGCTGTTTATGAGCATATTTCTCCTTTAGATATACATACAAATGTGACTTTGGTTGTGCTTTATTTTTATTTTTTTTACTTTCTCTCTTCCTGCAGCTTTTTGTCTCGGACAACAAGAACACATCAACCCGCGATGTTGACAGCTTCTTCAACTTTGCTGACATGCAGATGGGCTTATAAGTCAGCTGACGAAGATGTCTTTTGAAATGATTAAAGGCAGGATTGAAAACTTCTGCAGACTGTTAGAAATTGCTTGTGGTTTAACAAATCAGTTCCCACGATTGGATGAAATTTTACCATTTTTTTCTTCAGACAGAAGGAAGAAAAATGGCTGTAAACCACTGAAATGTTAGTTGCTAAGAGTGCTGTGATTATTTATGTTTCTGTGAATGTATTTTGGAAATCTGTTTTCTTTTTTCCTCTGTGAATGTAGCTGTTTCTGTAAGTGTATTTTCTTTTTTTAATTTAAATATTACTTACATTGCTGTTTGGGATAAAAGGAAAACGTTAGAAAAAAAAAACATGAGCACAAAATGCCTGTTTCCATCCTTACATTTTTCTTAGAAGTATTTGTCTTTGGTTTGGATAATGTATTTCCCTCTATTTGAAATGTGTATATATGAGATACTGTATAGGTAATGATTATGTCTTTACTCGTGTATGTTAGGCCAAAACCAGGTTGTGAAAAGTTTATCTTAAGTTTTGTTAATCTGTTTTCATCAACATATAAACACAAGAGGAATGCTGGATATTTGAAGTAGGCACCTTGTGTGTATTTTTTTTTATATATATATATATATATATGTGATTTTTATACATAACTGAATGTTTTTGTATAGAATTTCATAAACTACATATATTTTGTAAAATTCTAATTATTTTGTATTTTTAAACAAAGATGACTGAAAGTCAGCTGCCAGCACCTGTTTTCCATGACAAAAGATCTTTTAAGAGTACATGTGTCTCTAAGGTTCAATTTGCATAGCCATTAAATCTGAGAACCGATGTGAAAAACAGAAACTGTGCTGAATGGAAATGCTTTTCTTCCTCTTTGTACAACTTTTTTTTTTTTTTGCTGTTCAGGGCCTCTATTTGTCAACTTCAATAGAGTGGAAACACCAAACATTTTCTTGATGAGACAGAAATATGTAGATCTGACCATAGTTACCATTTAGCTGCACTTTCTCATCTCAGTGATGAGTTCAGATGATGGTTGTGGCTTTAACAAATTCTAATCTAAATAAATTATGTCTATAAAACGATTACCTCATACAAAATTAAACATACAGTTTTTTTTTTTCTTTAAGTTACTTTTTTTTTACTTCATCACCTCTGTAAATTTGTGTTAAGCAGTTATTTCCAGTAACACATAAAAAAATAACATGTTCAAATTGTGCCCAGTTTGCAAAAAGTGTATGCCATTTATCTGTAACTGTTCGTTTTTTATGGACTACTGTGATCTTTATATGTAAGATTCATATTAAAACCAATAGAATCAAAACAATCATTCTTTTGCCTATGTTATTTGCTTTTAGTAAAGATGCTCCAATGGGAGTATAGAATTGCGATCATTAATAGCGGGTAACGCCGGGGAGAAAACCGAGCGTACCCACGATTAAAGAGAAGCGGCGGTCTTTAGGACCCGTCGGTTCGGGCGGTACAATAGAGCTGTTGTGCCGTGTTGGTGAACGTACTGCAGCCTGGAGAGTCCCACTGTCTGCTGGGATACAAAAAGCCTTATATTTACTATAATATTAAGACTAAAGTCCAAATTTCCACAGCTTTGTGTATGTTCGGTCTGCGTGGCTGCGTGTTTGAGGAGAGCAAAGCGGAAAGCCAGCGTGGAGTGAAGGTAAGGCGGGAGGAGTGTGAACAATATGCTCGTGTGTTCAGAGTGCCAGGATTCACCCTGGATGGTTTATTCAGGCCACGGGGCCTGCTCCTTTCCTGCTATGCCGAGGCCGTTTCCGCATCACCACTTTATCAATATCATCACACATATGAAGTATTCTCTTTGTAGAAACTTAAACGTACATTTGTTGAACATTTAATCAACTTTAGCTGTATTAATACTTTCCTTAACGTCTGTAGGAAGTGACATCTTTGTACGAAGGTGGCGCCATGTTTGACTTGCTGTAGGCCCGTGGAGGGGAGTGTTTGGCGCCAACTACTGCGTTCGCTTCTTATTTTTAGTTCTGGAAACCACAATTTAAAGCCCTCAGATTAACTTTTAACTCATACCAACACCTAAAGGTGACATTTATACCGGTGCAGCCCCGGATAGAGGAAATAACACACGGAGAAGACAGTTTTAGTCATTGTCTCAGATTGTTTACAGTATCCGCCTGCCTTTAGTCATCATAGTTTGCTGTTCAGGACCTGTAAAATAAATAGTTTCATTAATACAAAGTAATTTTGAATGTAAAGAAAGTTCATTAGTCGTGTAGCTCTGACACAGCAAGCTTGTTAGGTAGACTATATGGTGTGTTTGTGGTGCTTTGCACAAGTAGTCAGTGTTTCCTTCTCCATAAAACTGTTTAAAAACAGTTTTAATTTTACATTTACAAATAAATTAGATAAATGTGACCTGCATTTGTATCCAGGTCCAATGAGCCTGTCCTTTTAGTAGAGCCAGCTGTGTAGTTAGGATTTTCTTCACTTTACAGATTTTTTCCAGCTTCAGGTCTTGTCTCTCTACCAGCTTTGTACATCTAAAACCTGAGATGTTTCTTTTATTTTGGAAAATAGCTCAGTTTTTGTTATACTGGATGACTGAAAGCGATTAGATTTAGGCATACCAGACTGTTAATATGATTTATTTTGGCTTTGATGCTCAATATCTTTCTTCCTATCCATTTATTATTGGAAAAAAAAGCTCATTAAAGAGTAAAACTTAAATTCTTTACCATTAAAATAATCTAAAACATGAAGCCTCGGCTTCTTTTCTGTCATTTGCTAAAATGATCCTTTTGGCAGATTTTCTGATTAATACATTCTGACCTGTCATTTCAAGTGGACACCTTTATATTTTTGGAACAATTTCAAAATTTTCCCTCAATTAATTCAACACTTCTATTTCTTTTTTAGTCATGATATAAATCCTTTGTCATTTTTTCATCTTTTTTTTTTTTCAAATAAAAACACTTAGTTTTTTGCACAAAATTCATCATCATTTGTAGCCTGGGTGCCATTCCGAACTTAGTCCCACCCACAACGTTTGAGGTCGGGAAGTTCGTAGTTCATATTCTGACTAGAATTGAGTAGGACTACGTCAGGCTACATCATTTGTGCTCACAGCCTCTCAAAGGGGGTTTTAAACAAAGTTCACATTGAATAAAAACCTTTGAAAGGTGATGTTATTCCTTACATCAAAAAAAAAAAAGTTTTAGAAACAAAAATGTAAATGGATTTCTCCATTTGCTCATCGAACCTTAATACAAATGTCCTCCTATGCAGTAGTTTCCCATCCAGTTATGGTTACTTTAGCAACACAAAAACAATAAAATAAAAAACTAATATTTACACATTTTAATAAGTAGACCTCGATCTGGTTTTAGATCATTTTTGATGAAATTGACCTTAGTTTTAATCAGTCAGATTATGAGCCGTAGGTTTGAAGCAGATGTATAAACATTACTTTGATCCTTATGGCATTGATTAAAGAAGGAAAAAATTCAACAGAAAACAGCTCCCCGCATCATCTTTTGGATATGCTTACTCCAGATTTACCATTTCAGAATATGGGCAGGTACTCTATTTTTTAGGTTTGACGATGTGTAGCTATTTTGGTTTATTTCTGGTTTTGCTTTATTTCCTGCTTCCATGGAGTCAAATCATGGAAAGGAAGGAATCAACAGATCATTCAAAGATGATTGGCCAAAACAACACCTAGAGTTTAGTATTAGCCAATCACAGTGTCTTTAAGGAGTAAGGATCATGAGAAACCACAACAATTTACGCATTTACTCTCTTGCTGTTCTTTAATTAGATTAAATTCTGGATTCTGATGAAACAGGCGAGATGGTAGCACCTACCTTTAGGTCCTCCTGTACTGCCATGTTTTTATTTTTGGTGGTGGGCTTATCAGCTCTTGCTTTATGTCCTGCCTTAAACCTTGATACTTCAACGTGATTGGCCCACACAATTTTGAATGGTTTTTGGTTGGAGTGGGACAGGATGTATTACGAAATTTGTGAACGCACAAATACCGCAAGAAATCCTCTTACAGGGAAGCTTAGAGTTGGGATATGAATGCAAATGACTGTTAGATTGGGAAAACAATACCTCATTATATCTATTACAGACTTGTAAGTTGAATTAAATCAAAATCCTATCACTTAAGTATGAAAAACAGACCATATAATAACTGTAAGGGAAAAATATTGCAGTTCACTTTATTATAATTGTATGATTATAGCTACGTATATTCCTAAAATGTCTGGATTACCAAAAAGTAAAACAAAAAAACAATAAATTTAGGGTTGATATTCAACATAATCACTACGGTTAACTTTGTCAGTGAAAGTTCAGCTGATTACAACCTGAGCACCGCCTGACAAGATTTGAGATTTTAAAAAACGTAAAGAACAAAAACACTTCTACGCAATAAACGGTATGATGGAAACCTCCGTGGTTTTGAAGCTTCGGCCTTTTTGTACCACGGTTAAACCATGAAGCGGGGGAACTGGCCCATGCCATCAGGGCAGGAAACATCATATTCTTCCAAGCAAATCGCTCCAATGCCGTATCCTAAAGGTTACATTCTTTAATCTTACAACTCTGAATTTTAATAGTAGATCCTACGTTTTGATTTAATAAAAACAATTGTCTGTAAATCTTGAGGTATTGAATGCAGAAAAAAATAAATATCTAAAAGAAAAAGCCATTGAGTGTTAAAAAGGTGTTTGGTATTTTTGTTGACACTTCCTCCTGAGCGTCTTTGTTCCGTAAATAAAAAAAAACAAAACAGACTTTGTTTCAGGTTTCGTCCATGCTCACTATGAAAACAGAAAAAGCGATATGAAAGAAGTCAGTTGCAGACCTGGGCGGATTTCCTCTGGCCTCTTTTTATTTTACTCTACCCCAGTAAAATGAGGAACTGTCTTGGTGCTTCCTCCTCCTGCCGCTGCCCCTCCTGCCTCCATGGGGAATGTGAGGCATGTCCTGTCTGTAAAAGCCATGCTCTATAAGATGCTTCGTCTGAGTCGCCATGCGCTTTTTACGACTTTAATGACCCACCCCTTGGATTTAAAAGCTTTAGGCATCTGTCCTGTTTCACTTTTGTTCTGTTTAAAACGTAGCTAGGGTGGAGGAAGCGGTTAATGTGGTTGATTCACCAGGATCTTTCGGATTTCGCTTGACTCTCCCTCTGTGGTTTGATAGAATACCTTCCGAGAGTTTTTGCCTCCTGAATTTGTTTTGCTTAAGTTAAATAGAGGACTGCCCCCAAGAGGAAAAAACAGTTTGAAGCTGAAAAAGACTTGAGAAAAACTTCCAACATGATAATTTGAAATGTACAGCTTGAGTTATAAATGAATTAGTTAAATAAACCACAATGACATGTAAGAATGGCCTAATCAAAGTTTAGATCTTACGCTGCTTTGAGACAACAAATTTAAGGGGAAAAACTGAATATTTTTCCTTCAGTTTGATTGAAGTTTGTCTCATAAGATCTTGATAAAGTGCTAAAAGGTTTGGTTTTTTAACGGTTGTAAAACTTGAATGCTTGTATCATACTGTGCTGACATTCTCTGTTCTTTCCCCTGCTGCAGAGATGAAACATAGTGAATAGTCACCAGAAGAATCTACTAGCATGCTTTTCAGTCTGATGTTTATGGTTGGTAACCACCATCATTATTCTGAACTATGAACGACTTGGATTAATGAATGAAATGTTTTTGAAAGCTGCTTCTTTTTCCCGCTCCTGCAGGACGTTACAGGATGAAACGTGTCAGGTCGTCCAGCAGCAGCGACAGTTCCGACAGTGAGAGTGAGTCCCTTCAGACTGAGGCGCTCAAACGAAACCTGCATTTCCTTTTGTCTCGCTTCTCTTTAATCGACTCTCGCTCTCCCTGCATAGGCCCATCAACGTCCTTCTCTAACAAATATGACAGCAAAACTGGAACCCCGGCCTCCGACCCAAAGAAACCGGCTGAAGTAAGAGCAGTTTTTATGGACGTATTTCAAAGAAAAAGAAAAATGTAGGACAAGAACTTGACTCTGTCCACTTTTTCTCCAACAGGTGTTCAGAAAAGACCTGATCAGCGCCATGAAGATACCCGATTCCCACCACGTGTCTCCAGAGGACTACTACCTGCTGGCCGACACCTGGAAGCAGGAGTGGGAGAAGGGCGTCCAGGTGCCGGCCAGTCCGGACACCATCCCTGAGCCATCAGTCAGGTATGCCCGTCCTGCGGCTCAGCAGGTCTAAATGCTCTTTCTTTTCTGTGACAAACTGCTCCCCAGATCTGGAAGGTTTTTGCTTCTTTTCTTTCTTTTCAGACTCATCGCTGAGAAGTCCAAAGTAGTGCTTTACACTCACCCAAGAAAGTACATCCAGTGTTCAAGCCAGGAAGCGACAGAACCAGGATATGTCAACATTAAGGAGCTGGCAGAGGCCATGTGTCGCTATGATCTGGATGATATGGACCTCTACTGGCTCCACGCGCTTAACCGTGAGCTGAGTCACATGGGTAAGAAAATCAAACTGCCTACAGCTATCAGCACCTGGTTTAAAAAAGAAAAACATATGTGTTACTGCAACATTTAAGTTCCCTTTTGCATTAATAAAGTATTTTAAAATTAATTTAGGTTTCTCCCTTCAGGATACTCATTTGCTGTGCAAGGTGAAATTTGATTGGGTAAAAGCCATAAATTCTGGATAAAATCAAAAACATTTATGTTTTCACGCTTTATTATTATTATAAGGTTGTATCTGTTCATCCAAAGGCCACCAACAATGGAAAAAATTTTAATCTAGATAAGTAATTTTTTCTTAAAATAAGTGCATTTGTTCTTGGATTGAGGAGGTAAGAGACATTTTGCCAATGGAACAAGACAATTTTAATTAAAAATAAGAAAACACAATTGCATTGTCTTATTTCAAGTGCATGTTATCTAATCATCTTTTTTTAAGAGTATAAATACTCATTCCATTGGCAAATTTACCTACTCAAATCAAGGGTAAATGCACTTCATTTAAGTAATTTTTTTTACTTAAATGTTTTTCCAGTGAACCTGCTTGTCCATCCGTTCATCTCACTTCATTCATAAACATGTTTCCATTCTAAAAAATTTCCAGGAGTAAAAATATCTGCCATGAATTCAGATTAAGCTTTGCATTAACACTAAAAATGCTCGACAAAGGGATGAAGACTTTAAATTTGACCCTAGATTTTTGACATAAAAGTGTTTTAAACTCTGGAGAGTAAGTAGAACTTACCCGACAGCAACACAAACGTAAGTCCTATACTGATTGGTGGTTCACGCTAGATTAATAACTTCCTGTTTATGACAGCCAAGTGTAACCAAAACTATTGACAACATTACGCTTCGCATCAATTGGTTAGTTTGCCGAGTGGAAATGTGTCTAAAACCCTCTTACACTTTTAATCTTTCTAACCACGTGTAAATATAGCCATAACTGATTTACTGGGTCAGGACCCAGTATTAAACCCCCTAATTTAGCAGAACCGCACAAAGCTATTACCTCACTGGGTAAGGCATGCATTTGCATGTTCATGAGAAACATTCAAGGTGACACGTTGTCATACAAGACTTCTGACTCCTGCTACATGTTGTTAACCTCAGCAACAACAGCACTACTGACAACATTTTCCTGCAGGTTCATGCTCTAGTCTTCTTCTTATTTATGTATTTTTTATCTTCCCTTAATGTCCCCCAGTTGCCTCTCAGACTGAGAAAATAGTGAAATGGAATTTCTTAATTTCCGTATCTCTACTAACAAATGTACTTCAGGAAGCATTTGTTTTGATTTTTTGCTAACCAGCTGTTTTGACAGATGTCATTTTTTTTGTCTTAAATTCTTTTAGAGGTTGGATTGATCATTTAAAACTGTATCCATTGCATTAGTGCCACCTTCGTGTTACATTGGGTACATCCTTTCCAACATTGCTCACATGAATATGAAAATATGCAACCTGGTAATTTACTGGATTACAATGTGAATGTGTGAAAGGCGTTGATTCTTGTTTAAACCAAGAATGTGCTCCCCATTAAAAAAACTAGGACCAGTGTATGAAAGCAGTTTATTTGCTTTTTAAAAGTTCGCTTAAAATTGGCATGAAGTTTGGATGGAAACAAAGCTATTTAGACTTCAGCTAATTGCAGATTTTATTTCAGATTTTTTTTTTCTTAGACTCGTCTAAATTGAAGGGAGAAAAAAAAGAATAATCTTTAAAAAAAAAACTCAACAGCTTGAAGTGCGGTAATAAATGTCTCTGCACCCCAAAGTTGTTCTGAATGCTTCCCTCCAGTTTTTAGTGCAGCGGGTAAAAGGAAAGCCTGAATAAGCTGCTGTATATTTCTGCATGTTCAAGGAAAACATCCCTGAAATAAACACATCTCTGACTCAACACATTCATATACCATTTTCAATGCATTAACTTGCTAATGTTGCTAATGTTGTTTTGATTTAAAGAGGTTTGCAGTAGGGCTAGGCTAACATTAGCATTTCTTCTTTCTGAAGTTATAAAGCTGAGAATTTAGCCTCTAGGTTATTTTATTTCTATGTGGTTCCAGTTTTATTGCATTTGAAGACAGAAAAGTTTTCCTAACTCTGAGAAATTAGCTCTGATTTGAACGTCCTAAAAATTGATGGCCGATGTTTCAGATGCTCTTTGTGCAACTTCCCTGGGACTGCTGGGTATATTAGAGTTCTATGTGCTAAAATACGTCTCCTTTTAGCTGTAGATGGAGAGAAATACCCAGATTTAATGGAAAACCAACATTAGTGGCATCCACAGATTAGTGGTTTCAGTTTCTAAAATCCAGCTATTTAAAAATGCTAGAATTTGTTACTGATCTTATCCTCGGGATCAGGAAATCTGGGGTTCAGTCTTAAATGAGTTTAAATCCTACAATGTGCCTTACTCTGCCTCTCATTAGCGTTGTTATTTCCATATGCCTCTCAGGGGAGCTACCCATAGATGAGCTGACTATGGAGCGAGCCTTGGAGGCTCTAGAGAGGCAGTGCCATGACAACATGAAACACGCCATAGAAACCGTGGAAGGCCTGGGCATCGAGTACGACGAGGACGTGATTTGCGACGTGTGCCGCTCCCCAGACAGCGAAGAAGGAAACGACATGGTGTTCTGTGACAAGTGCAACATCTGTGTGCACCAGGTGGGTGTTGGAACGGCTGCTCTGTTCACCGAGGGGAAAAAAAAATTATAGAAGTTGTGCCTTTTTTGTGTTTCTCCAGTAGTTGAGTGACGGTGATTTGATCTGGATTTCTCCACAGGCTTGTTACGGCATCGTCAAAGTGCCGGTTGGGAACTGGCTCTGCAGGACTTGTGTCCTCAGCATTGACCCTCAGTGCCTTCTTTGTCCCAAGAAGGGCGGCGCCATGAAGGCCACACGTGCCGGCACAAAATGGGCACATGTGAGCTGCGCCCTATGGATACCCGAGGTATGCAACACTAGGGGGGAAAAAACAACCCTCTCATTGCTCCAAATGGATCAAAAGTATGTTTTTGAATAATGGCTCATCTTGCTCTGCATGTGGTTACTGCGTAGGTGAGCATAGCCTGTCCTGAGCGAATGGAGCCCATTACGAAAGTCTCCCACATCCCGCCCAGCCGCTGGTCTCTCATCTGCAGTCTGTGCAAACTGAAGACGGGTGCATGTATCCAGGTGGGTGTGGCTATGTCTCAGTTCTTGTCGCATTAGTAATGACTAATAATTAATATTACCTCAGCAGCTGTGGATTGAAGGACATTCGTTACTGAAGGCATCATTTGAAACGTTTGATTAGCATCACATCCACTGATTTCTTATTGGTTCTTTGGAAAACCAGTAACAGTTCAAAGTCCTGCACTTAAGGAAAAAAAGAAAAGAAAAACACATTGCAGTGATAAAAATGCAAAACGTAGAGAGTAAATTAATAATTAAGATAATGAAAAAAATATTGATTAAAAAAAGGAATGGAAAGTTGGACTGAAAAGGATTTAGATAGCTCATTCAAATGCCACTCTAAAAAAATATATATTTTTAATCTAAATTTAATACAACTGAGTGATTTTGTGCTTTTAAAAATTCTGGGAGTTTATTCCAGATTAGTGGAACATAAGAACTAAATGCTGCTTCTTCATACTTGGTTCTGCTTCTAAGTATTCAGAGTAGACCTGAGAGGTCTGGCACGTTGATCCACTGACAACAAGTCTGTAATATTTTTTGAGCTAAGCTATTCAGTGATTTAAAGACTAACATAAGTATTTTAAAGTCTATTTTCTGAGATGCAGGGAGCCGCTCCCCAGAGCTGAGGTGATCTCTGCTTTCTTGGCTTTAGTGAGGACGCTGACAGCAGCATTCTGGATCAGCTGCACCTGTCTGATGGCTTTTCTAGGCAGACCTGTGAAAACCCTGCTGTAGTGAATAATTCTACTAAAGATGATCACATGAATTGTAGTATCAAAATCCTGTTGAGGCATTAGTCCTTTAATTCTGGAGATGTTCTGTTGGTGATAGGCCGCATTTAACTTCTTTAAAGTTGTAGGGAAGTCGTATTTAAATGTCAAATCATTCTGGCTTAAACATGTATACCGTAAATCCTCTAATATAGGACAGGGCCTTTATTTCACTCAGGTACATCTTGGTCCAGGCCATTATTGGAAGGAGACCAGAATTAGAAGCAGGCCTCTATTTATATTTAATCAAAACAGACTACCAGTGGAATGAATTAAAACGAGATTTTGTGCCTCTTTGAACCTATAAAATACTAGGTTCATTTATTGAACAGGTACAGTTACCGTAACGCTATACAGAACATTATTCAGACATGTTCCAGCAGCTGCAATTTTTCTGCACGGTAATACGAAAAAAAAACAAAACAGAATGGAATCTTGGCCAAACTGACTTGCGAAACAAGGTTTTTAAAAATTTAAAGGAAACTGTTCTGCCGTCACAGTGAAATTTTATTTGAGGCAGGCTAAGTGGAAGTAGGCTACCAGTATCATATATTGCAAGGGAAATTCAGAACAACGAAGGCCATTTTAATGCTGCCTGGTTACCACCAGACCTACCGGTAATCACATGTGGCTTTCAGATCAGAACATTGTGTAAGGCCTCTACAATGTCTGTGTAAGGATGGGACTTCCCCTGCTAATGGCTTGCATTGGTTGGCAAACATTGCCCCCCTGTGGTACTTGTATGTTACTATTACAAGTTGTTGAGGACTGTCCAGGAACATCGTTCGTTCTAATTATAACCCCGGCCTGTATACAAGTCCGAGAGTGGAGGTAAACGCTAATGGAATACAGGCCAATATTAGAGGGTTTACGGTATAAATGTACTCTTTATCAGACTATTTAAAAAAAAAGAATCCTGTCTTAAAGCTTCATGAACTGTGAGTATCCCCATAGCATGATGCTTCCACCTACTGTAGTGAAGTTACTTTAGATCAAAGGGTCTTCATTCCCTTCTTTCTGCCTTAGCTGAGTCTCCTACATGGTTTGGGGCAACTTGTATCATGACTGGTTGTGTTGTTTCTCCTGCCACTGATGCTTGTGGAATGACTGGCTAATAGTTGGACTTTCCACTCTTCTTTCAGTGTTCAGTGAAGAACTGCACCATTCCTTTCCATGTGACTTGTGCCTTTGAGCACAGCCTGGAGATGAAGACCATCCTGGACGAAGGGGACGAGGTGAAGTTCAAGTCTTTCTGTCTGAAGCACAGCAAGTCCGGGGAAGCCGGCCTCAGCCCAGGTCGGTCCAAAGCCCCCGTAGAGGGGGGCAAGGTGGGCCAGCGGGCGCAGAGGCTGCAGGAGCTGGAGGAGGAGTTCTACACTCTGATCCAGATGGAGGAGCTGGCACAGGAGCTGGGGCTCTCTGAGCGCCTGGTGGACTTCATCTATCAGTACTGGAAGCTGAAGAGGAAATCCAGTTTCAACAAGCCTCTGCTGCCCCCTAAAGAGGAGGAGGAGAACCTGATGCTGCAGCCTCAGGAGGACAGCATCCACACACGCATGCGCATGTTCATGCACTTGCGACAGGATTTAGAGCGGGTGGGTGTTTTTCTTTTTTTTTTTTTTTTACTGCGGTGATGCAGTCTTTAACGCTGAGTCAATGGATTATTAGCTCTGGGTGAAAAGAACAGTTCCCACCAGCCAGCAGTGGTTTGATCACTTCTCTCTAAAACTCAGTTTTGTAGTAATCAACATTTCCTGTCAGCATTCTCTGATGCTGCTTATGTTATTAAATTTTACCACAATCTAAAGGATGTGATCCTTCCTGGCATTAACTTCTGATTTTCCTCCAGTTTTCAGTTTTTAAATGACATCTCATGCTGGTAGCCTCACAGGTAGAAAGGAGAAGGCACAGAGATCAGAACAGAGTCACACAAACAGGCTCTCAAACTGCTCTCTTGTTGTTGTTTAATTGTTTTCACCTATCTCTGCATTCAGGTGAGGAATCTGTGCTACATGGTGAGTCGACGGGAGAAACTGAAGCTGCTGCAGAGTAAAGCCCAGGAGCAGATGTTCAACCTGCATGTGAAGCTGCTGAATACAGAGATCTCCACCGGTGAGAATAGGTCCACATACATGTCGTTCTGGGAGAAATTATAATAAATTATTATATTATAAATTATAATAGGATTTTTTTAAAATTCTTACCACAATAGCCAATAACTCATATTTTGTTAACTAGAGACTTAAAAAGCAAGACCTTTGTTCTGGCATTAGTCTTCATCACATAGTCTAAATGTTGCTCCTTTCCTTCCTGTTCTTGCTTCTTTCCCTCATTATGTGTTATCTTTTGTGATTTTATTTTTGATTAGATTTGCTAATCAATTAAGCTGTTGATTAGTTTTTTTTTCTCCCCCATTACTAATCTGATTGCAAATAAATATTTTATACAGAATTAAAACCAGATGAAGCTGAAACTACGACACACAAGGAACAATAAAACAATCCTAATTTTAATCCTAATTGTTAATATATCATAATTTGGCATAATTACTGCTCTTTCAGCTAAACACTTTAGTTCTTTAATTAACAATTCATTTACAGTGAACTCTCTATTATGCTGTTCACCTTTCACTGCCTCGCTGCTGCATGGATTAGCATTGTGTTCTGCATTCTGATTGGCTAAACGATCTCCACATTTTTTCTCTACCTGTGTGTCAATAACATTAGGTGTTATATCTTAATATGCATGTACGTAAAACAGCTTGCCAAATTTAAGTTTGCAAATTTTCTCCAAAACTCGTAATGTAGGTAAAACCTTCTGCACCGATAAAGGCGTTTGCAGACGGCCAAAGAGCCAGAGGAAGATGCTAACTATCGCAGAAAGAGTTAAACTTCTGGACATTTGGACATACTAATGGGGGTAGAAGCTATGCGGCTGTAGGCCGCCATTAAGGAATTAATGAATCCTTGTCCGTTCCAGAAGCAATACATTTTTATAAGGATGCAAAAAGGGTTGCAACCGTCAGCAACAAGACTATGGTAAGGATGGAGTCTGTAATTAGCTTTGTGGATTAATGACTGCAGAAAAAAAAAAATTCTCTGGATACGACTGTTATCTGCACAAAAGCTAGAACGCTGTGTCAAACTGACAGAGATGACATTCATGACAGAAAAGAGGAGGAGGATGCAATTACCAGCCATCGAGTGCTGTTCAGGCAGAATTAAGCGCATTTAATGCTAGCAAGGGCTGGTTTAAAAATGTTTAAAAAACGCTTCGGATTTAGAAATGCTTCTCTGCATGGAGAGACCGCCTCTGGAGTAGAAGCATTCATGAACAATAAATTTAAAGCGATCATTGAGGAAGAGGGACATAAACCAGAACAAGTTTTTAATGATAAAAATTAAAGCATTGTTTTTCAACCCTGGTCCTCAAGGCACACTGCCCTGCATGTTTTAGATGTTTCCCAGCTTTCACACACCTGTTATCAATTGATAACAGCGGCCGATAGTGGCCCGGTGGTTGGGGACCGCTGCTCTACAGGACGTACGATCAGGCTGAAAGTCGCCCCGATCAAATAATCTCGCACGTCTGGCTAGAGGCTCACACTGGTTGTATTGTATACGAAGATTCTCTGTTGCCTTTTTCACGTCACCTCATCCGTTTCTTCATGTTTGTTTTTGTTTTTTATTGAAAAGCTGTAAAGTTCAGGACTTTAAGGTGAAATCTGTTATTTTCTTTTTTTGTGGTATTTTCCTTGTTTTATGGTGTAAATGATCAGAGGTGATGCTCCGCCCTGCCCTGATGTTTGGCTATTCTCAGCCTCTACAGAATCTTAGACCTTATGAGAACATGAAACCAGAATGACATGACATGTTTGTCTTTTTGCTCCCATAAGGTCTTCCTGCTTCTCTTCCGGTGGAAAACATGCTGTTCCACCCTCCTCCAAGGATCACTCTAAAACTGAAGATGCCCAAACCTTCAGGTCTTGGAAACGGAAACTGCTCTTCCAAGGTGGGCAACGGTCCCCTCTGCCCAGACACCAGCGGGAACGTCGACGAGCAGCATCCTGAGGGGCTGGGTCAGGGGAAGCCTCAGCTGCACGCCCGCTGCAGCAAAGAGGAGCGAGCCAACGGTCGGCTGTCTTCCTCCAGCAGCAGCCCACTAGCTGGCAAACCTGCAGGAAAACATTTGGCTTTGCATGTCATGCACCATGCCCATTCATCCAACGGTAACGGCAAACTGGACCAAGACCGGTCATGCATGGTTAAGTGTAATGGTGTTTTGGATAAGGCACTGGCTCAGAAGGACAGTTCCTGCCAGACACCAATAAACCGGGACGTTACAAAGGAAGAGGCGGATAAGAAAAGCTTTTGCAAGTCTGCCATGGAGCATTTTGGCAGACCCTTCAAAGAAGCGACTATTAACTTGGTACGGACAACGGCGGACCTGCGGGCCTCAGACCTACTGTCCCATAAAAGCTCTGCCAAAGAGAAACTGTGGGTAAAACCTGTATTAGAACATAAAGCAAAAAACAGACAATCGCACCAGGACAGTGACGGATACTGCCCCGACCTGGAGCTGAGCGACTCTGAACCCGAGGCCAGGGGGAGACATGGCCATCAGGTCGGGGTTCCACACGCTCAGAGAAAGGGGAAGCATTCAGTGGGTTCCAGACACTCCATGCAGAGGTGACGCCGTGGGCCGATCCTTCCAGCTCCTTTTAGTCTTTGTTGACCTGCTGGGAGCAGCAGCCCAGCGGCCGGCCGGCTCTTTGGACACATCAGGGACCGAGCCTCGGTGCTGATGATGCTTCACATATTAGCTATTGTGTTGCATTCAGAAGAGGAAATCGTGTGATACTCAACAGTAGGTTCCAACATGCAGTTTGGATTTGCTTTTAATAGGAGATAATTCCTATTATTACAATCAACCACAAACATTTTCTACATTAGTCCTGTATGGTTCTGTTTTTATTCGTTTACAGATCAGCTGCCTTTTATAAAAACGCTGCTTTCTAGTTTTTTTTTCTGTCTTTCAGTGTGATAGGTTCTGATAAGTAAACACTACATTTGTCTCCAAACGGGGCGACGTGTTTTTACAGCGAGCTGACATTCCAATATGTATCCTTCAATAAAACAAAAAAAAGAAACAGTGGTAGAAAGGTAAAGGACGGTGAAGGTAAATGGTGAAACCTGCAGACCGCCGCCTGTCCTGGAGTCACATGAGCAGCCGACATCATCACAGAACTTAAATGTGAAAACCAGCGTCCAGCATTTGCTGTTACCTGTGCTCCTGTTTAAGTAATAATGTACTTCAGAACTGCTGGGTTTATTTTCTTTACAGAGAGACGAGGTTTAAACTGTTTGCTTATACTTCACCTGACAAGAAAACATTAAAGACGATCTTAAAATAATGTTATGGTCTTTTATTGAAGTGGATTCCAGTAACACTAGGCACAAACTTAACTTTAAGTTTAAGCATTTAAGGTGTTTAAAAAAAAAAAAAAAAACATTGAAAAGTGGAAGGAAATATTTAGCCTTCACTATTTTTTTGCTTTACAAATTAAAATAAATTGTTCTGTTGGTTGTGAGTAAATGAAAAGGTAACTAAACGGCCTACATCATGTCTAATGAGTCTCCCATGAAAAAACTTGTAGATCTAACATTAATTTAATACATGACCCTAATATTAAATATGCTGTTAAATAAAAATTAAATGTCCCATCAAATTTAACGAATTAAATAATTGTCCTTTAGAAATAAATTTAAACATATCTTCAGTTTATAATAAACAATGAAATCACTAAATGTATTTCATTTTTTATGTTATTTATATTGCCTACCTATTTTTATATGCCTACCAGGTTTGTACATCTGAAGAATGTTTTCCATTTTTAAAAAATCCTTAAAGCACAGTCTAAATTGGACAATATCTGCAAACCGTTTTTATAAGACTTGCCACAAATTCTTTAAGCTACAGTGTGTAATAATTACAGGGATATACAGTCAGAAATGTAATATATTATACATAACTATTTTATTTATCATCATCTACGAGCTCAGCCTCTTAACCTTAATATTTGCGTTGCCTTAGAATTCGTTATTTATAATTACATAGGAGCGGGTCTCGCA